ACGGAATCTTATCCGGGTCAATAGGTTCATTGAGAATAGCTTTCAATATGACCAAAGCACCGGCTTTAGAGGACACAGTGTTTCCTTCTTTACACAAAGGGCTGAGAATGCCTGCGTTTTTATGATGACTCGATTAAACCTAGATTACGTTGGTGACTTACATTTTGTACACCCTTCCTTGCAATCGCAATTTTTGATTGCAATGCAGGCTTTATGCAAGATATCCGACACTGTGGCGTGGTTTAATCACAGAGTGAGAAGACGTTCAAGTTTGAGCTCACCATGCTCGAATGCTTTCACAGAAACGCCACTTCCATTCCCCACAGGATCATACACAATCAACCTAGCTGACCTTTTTCGGCGAGATTCCTTCTTCAAATATTCCTTCTCTTCTGCTTTGCACTCTGTGCGTAAGTCAGAAGCTAGAGAGAATTGGTTTAAGAATGCGTGTTCGGCGGAATGTATCGCAGAAGCTGGTTTGATAGATTTGTCGCGTAGCAGCCCTAACACAAAGTCGGGAACATCTAGCCATAAGCCAGTGGTGTCATGTATCCAAGGGCTTGTTTCGACGTCAACAATATCTAGGACAATATTATGCCTACGTAAATAGGAATCAGCCCCAGCAGAGGAGATTAAGAACAAAAATATAAGAAGCACCGCATTTTGTAGAATCCTAAGGAAAATCCATGTGAGCGATAAATGAGTCTTGTTGAAGTAAAAGTCTTACCGAATACTTGGCAAAAGATTTCGACTCCTACAAAATTTAATAAAAAGAAAAGCGACTGCAAGTATGAACGCTCACGGCCGTAAAATGCATGATGCGGTGATCCTTTGATCTCACGGATACGATGAGTTTGTAGAGCATTCACGTCTCTAAATACAGGAATTAGTCCTGACAATAAATTCCAATGATACATGGCACCATACGTAAAATCTCTGTGGGGAATAACGGTGAACATTTGTACAATTATGATAGCAGCCCAACCAACCTTTGTTTTGTGGTCCAGTTCACGTCCACCTGGATTAACTTGACTAGCTTAGAATCGTGGTTGAGCTCCTGAACCTAGGTATTCTGTTTTCAGTAGCTGTAATGCAGTCCTGGCGTAGTTGTACTTGCAATGAAAGGCCGTCCTTGATGGATGAACTAGTGGGATAACCAAAATCACATCATCTTTCTGGGAGGTTGAATAGCAGACGTACAATACCACCTTCATATACCTCAAAGATTGCCCGGGAGATCTCGATTTCTTCGAGTATTCTTGCACTCGCCACTGATTTAGTGACATCCACAAGAACGTATTTATCCTCTTGTACTCCACCTAGAAATATGTGGAATAATAAGAAGAGAATGGTCAATTGGGACATACGTATAGATATGTGCTTTGAGGGCAATGGGAGATACTTGTTGTGAGGATGATACCTGCATGCCTCTTGTCAGTGGTTATGCCCTTGTTTATTTTTGAAATCACCTTACCACCCTTCTCCGTCTCTGTGGAGCTTTTCCTGGCATATGCCCTTGAGCAGTGGACCAAAATATTGCTTGTCTTGAGAACAGATAGGCATTTCATGAGCGGCACATTGAAGGTGGACTACAGCAAATCCTTTCAACCCAATGATGGGATGATATCTAGAAAGGTTCACGTACCCTCTAGAATAATCTTGTTCTCCAAGTCAACAATCAAGTCATCCGTACCTTCGTCAAACAACTCATTTGGGTTTGACATGTAATATTGATCAATTGGGAGGGCTTCAGCAACGAAAACAACGAGGGAATCACGTTTTCGACGGCCTGCTCGACCTGCCTGCTGTCTCTGTGTATTCTTATTCAATAGGGCATCTTTCACACAGAGAAAAGCTCACAAAGCTCGCTATATTGACAGGAAATCCCAGCATAAGTACAGCATCAAGTGCACCAATATCTACACCTAGTTCCAGCGCGTTGGTTGCAACGATTCCCAGGAGATGTCCAGTGAAAGCATCGTGTTCTATTTGTCTTCGTTCCTACGTTAATTGTGCAGTTAGGGCAACCTTGAGAAAGAAAAAGCAATAAAAGCAATATACCGCTGCAGAGTATCCTAAATTACATTCAAACGATGAGGTTCGCGGAATCGTCAAAAACCGCAAAACTAACCTCCTCGATAAGCCTGCACTCGGTTCAAGATATCATGTCGTCCTTCGCTACTGAGTTCGGTACGGAGCGTCTTCATGGTCTATCCGGCATCCTTATCAATAAGTATTTCCACCATTAAAAAGACGATCACTCACTAGCTCGCAAACCTTGCGAATCTATGAAATTCCACATTAGCGCCAAACAAGCGTTAAAAACCGTGAACATACCTTGCAGAACAAAATCACTCGTATCCCTCTCTTCATAAGGAACACCATCAATACAACGGCTTGCCTTATTCCGCTCTCCCTTCCGAGCTGAGGGTCAGAATTGTCGATATATGGGCTCCGCCAGATTAAGTATTCCTTAGACCCGGTGGGAGCACCATCTTGGGTGACAACTTGTATTTGGGTGGCGTCGAGGCCAAAGATATTAACCATGTGGGAGAGGGGGTTAGATATGGTTGCGCTGCAGGATACAAAGCGTATAGATTGATCTGCGTAAATGTCATGTTGGAGTACTCTGAATCGCATCATTCTGTCACATACTTCCGATTGCAGCACATACTCGACGGAAACGGCGCATGACTAGAGCGACGTGACTGGAGAGGGTCTTAGTAAACGTAGAGAATAGCCCTGTATACATACCTTCCAAACATCCCCGAATAATAATGAAGTTCATCAACGACAAAGAACTACGAATAGGTTGAATGTCACTATGTTGGACAGACTATGACATATCTTTTATCTCACCTTGAGGTTTTTGAGGAAACTGTAATCATTAAGGTTAATTTCAAAAGATATATATATGAAAATGTACTTGCGTTCTCCAAAGTTCTTCGTAAGGAAGAATGGAGGCGTGAATCATGTCCTAGCGGTGTAGCCATAAGACTGGACGTGTTGTATTTTTACAGAAAGGAATACCCACAAAATTGGTGAATATGACTGAGGCGGAAGAGCGTATGCCTGAACACGGGGGTTAGGAGTGTCCAGACAGCAACAGAAGAGTACATTATGACCTGATCTAAGGTCCGTAGGAGTGTCACCATCATAAGTAGAAACTTGTATATGTTCAAGACCAGGACATGCTAAGAGAAGGTTTTCTAGAGCGGCCTTTTGGTCTTGTGCTAAAGCCTACCAGAGCAGAGAAGAACAGAGCTCAGTAACGAGAGTCCGCTTGAGGGCAGTAGTGTACACACTTTTGTAGGGTAAACAAATATAGCCGTTGCGTGAGGATCATACTCCAATAGGCGAAGTAAGGGAATCTGTACAGATAGATGACGCATTAAGCCAGAGTGGCAGGTTGAAAGAGCATAAACATCAGCAACACCGACCTGATATATCACACTCTTCCCCGAGGCAGTACTTGTAGATATAATGACATTTTTACCGGAGTTAAGTGCCCCAATAGCAACCGCTTGGTGGGAGTATAAAGAGGTTATGTTTCTAGAGTTTTTCAGGGCCTGTTGAATAGTGGCTGATAGTGGTTCGTCTATTTCACCTTGAAGGATCAACGAGGACTGTGAGGATTTTGAGATCTAATATTAACGGAACTGACCAGTTTGACCCTCTCGAGCTTCAACTGTTCGCTGATCCATGATCTGGTCTTTATACCACTCCTGTACTTTGATTTCAGCAAGGATATCAGCTACAGAAGCGCGATCTTGGGGGTTTGGGATGGACATATGTGCACTCTCGTCGATTGGGAGTTTGTGTTTGTGCTTAGGATCAACAGGAATGTGATCTCGAGCCGCAGCTTGAAGTAGCGAGACTGGATCATCAGTGGGGGGAGTAGCTGATAATAATCTGTGGACCTGTTTAAGCTTGGTTTGTTTGTGCTGTGCCCAAGCCTACGTACTCATCCACAGCCCTAATGAACCTTTCATTCCTCTTCTCTACAAGTTTCGTCGTAGCGGCGAGTGTTCGCGTCGCGGGAAGGAGGTATCCGGTCTCACTTGCACTAAGATCATATGGTGAACATACATTCTGACGATGCAGGCGTGCCTGCTACCTTGTCCCTCCTGGAACCCCTTTCCAGCTTTCAGCGAATTCTAACAGAAGTACATGTTCCGGTTCCTCAGCCAATACGAGCGACTCTCTTGAAGTTGAAAAGGCAGAAAAATCGGGCTCATCAGCTGATTTGTGGACCGAATTGACTCGGAGTTGATTGTGAGGGACGTATGCAAAGTTGATGATCTCAGGTAGAAGTGCTCTAGTAGCCAATGAATGTCAACAAAGATACCATTTGTATAGTAGATGGGATGGAATGTACTTCAATTCTGCCACCTGGGACATGTTTAATGGTCTTTGTTCGGCAATATAAGCAGAAAAATAGACCTGGAACGCGTTCAAGACTCACTGTTTAGTGATATTCTCGACTGAGGACCGTATAGATGGAAAAGTGGTAGCCAATTGTTTCCTCGATGTAACAAACGCGAGGACAGTGTTGAGGGCCTGAGGGAGCGTGTACACGAGGAGAAATAAAAGCGCGAAAAGCACAAGTACCTTGTATACCTGATCCCTCCCTGGTTTCAGTACTGTGAATTTGAGCTAAAACGGGCGCGATACCTTGAAAAGCTACGAACTGTTTGCAAAAATTTTGACGCGAGGAACGCAAGACTAGACTCACCAAGTGGAAATACTGAGGCCAATGATCCAACTTTTCATTTCCCTTTGATTTCGCAGATCGAGGTTTCTTGACTTTTACTTGACTTGAATCATCGTGAGCGCGTTTCTTTGATTTTTGTGATGGTCCAGGGTCCCCTGTGGACATTTATTTTAAACGGGTTGGCTGTAGAGGACAACGAGGTGGAGAATAGGAAAGTCTTAAGCCATCGCGTAAATCTAGTACTGGTGGAAAGGGGAAAAAAAGGTTGTACTGCACCGTTCATTATGGTCTAATAGTGTAGAGGTTATCACACGGGATTTTGATTGACTTCATCATCATAGCATATTTCCCGTAACCCAGGTTCGAGTCCTGGTTAGACCTTTTTGCCTCAACAAGAGGAAGAAGTAGTTGCAGTTAACGCTCGTACTAAGGCTTTTTTTAAATCTTCACAATTACATAGTAGTAGTAGTAGTAGTCCGTCATAGAGAGCCTTCAACCCCAGCGCGCGCTCTCTCTCTCGTCGCAGGTCCCAGACGGGAGCGAAGCAGCGATCTTGACCCACACAGAGGGAAGAGGCCGCTCATGATAGCAAGAAAGTTGTGACGTGAAGAGTTATTGCAGGAAGATGTGCAGAGGTGTTTCAATATGAGAACATCTGAAAGGTGACCAGATTTTGCAGGGGAGGCATGGAAGGTCGCTGGTTTTGCTGTTCTTACGTGGAACGTGGCCTTCCAAAAAAAGCCCATCTGGACCAACGGTTGGGATCGTCAATATTTCAATATTCAATCCTTGAGCAGAGCTCAGAATCAACTTCCCGGCGAATGGCGTTTCACCCGACGTTTCTGATCGTTGATTTCCAGCGCCTAATAACCTTTCGTTCCATCCATGTTCAGAGCTTGCTTAACCCAGAGTCTGTTCTTTTCTTTGTTTATTCCCTCTTTTCTTACGCGTATCATAATATAGGCTCTCGAAGCACCGCGTCGACAAGTGCATCCAGCTCCTTCCTTCATACTTCTGCCGTCCGAAACGCCTCCAGCTCACAGCGGCTCACACCCAAGGCAAAAGCCGAACTCAAAGCCCAAAAATGGCGGACTACCAACGCCAACCGACCAAGTCCAATATTTGGCACACGGACAGGCGAAGAACACAAATGGAACGACTGTTACTTAGCCAAAATCCTGGTTGACGAAGCTGAATTGGCAGGTCCTCCAAAAATGACCCCAGTTGACCTCCCTGTCGGAAAAGTTTTTTTGCCTTCACAAATGGGTTTTGGAGTGACGGACACGGACGCAGCGAAGCTCTTTCGGGACCTGCCAAATTTGTCCATACAAACGGGATTAAAGGCCCAGGACAGGGTCAATTCTCAGCTCCTTGTCGAAGCTGGAGGCGAGACACAAGAGAGGGAGAGAAAAAAGGCGATTGCGTTTGCAAAATTAGTTGACTTGAGGAACGCCAACGCAGATGGAATCGCGTATGAAAACAAACGGAGGATTATCGTGGCTTTTTCTACGCCGAAAAATCCGTTTGATCCTGGGCGTACAGAGGTTCAAGGTGCGTTCTTTCCTTTTGACAATACTCGCAATTCGCCTAATGGTTTTAATTGTAGCTGCTATCCTCACATACCGAATCCGAAATCTAGGGAACCATATGTTGAAATTTCCTCGCGATCTAGGCAACAAGCTCGGATTGAGAAAACTTGTGCACCATCGGGCGAAGATACTGCGTTATCTAAAGCGAGTGAGCGTTGAGCGTTATGAAATCTTATTAGAACAGCTTGCATTGGAGCCGGAGAGCGTAGAGGGCGAATTAATTCTATAGACGATTCTAATTATCGATATAATACAGATAAGGTAGTCGTTACGAGTGGAAAGTCCTCCTACTATGCGGCCTTCTTAGCCTCCTTCCGCGCCGCCACCTTCTCCTTGTCTCTTTTCTGGAAGAGCTTATGCCTATTCCCACTAGCAGCAGACTTGGCCAGTGTCTTGTTCATCGACTTATTCTGCTCAATATATGACATATGTCCCGCCCCACTCAACGATGTCAATGAACCCGTGGTTCTTTGCGCCCCCGGGAACCTCGTAGGTTGACCAAAGTCCTTCGATGTGATTGTTCCGGCCAAATCACCTTCGGAAGCACGAACGTCCGAGCCAGGTTCAGCATCAGCCTCGTTAGCAATAAGCACTGATTGAAGGAGTTCAATTTGTTCCTCCCGAGTCCGATAGACGAGGTTGAGAAAGTCTTTCTGACCATCAAGGGAAGTGATGACTTTGAATGCATACCCTTGGTCAATGAGGAATTGCTGACGTTTGGTAGAGTAAAACATTTCTTGTGTGTCTTTGGAGACAAGGGAGTAGAAGAAGGCGTTAAAGCCTTCGTCATTTCTCCGCTTGGCGCGGAGGATACGGCCGAGTCGTTGCGCTTCTTGTCGTCGTGAGCCAAAGTGGGAGGAAATCTGTATGAGACAAGTTGCCTCAGGTAAGTCGATGGAGGTATCCCCGACCTTGTGGAGGCGTTAGAGGGGCGGATAATGATGATAGTGATTCTCACCTTTGACAAGAAGATCGTGCTAATTGCTGGGTCATGTTGGAAGTGTTGCAACACTCTCATACGTTCCGTCTGACCAGTCCCTCCATGGATATAAGGCTTTCCCAATTTCTTGGCGTATGCCTAGACACATTATTGAGTGTATTCCCTAATGATCACTTGGTCGGACGTACCTCCAAAGCAAACACATTATCCGAGAAGACTATGATCTTATCTCCTCGCTCTTCGTGGTAGTTGATCAAGTACTGACATGCCTGGAACTTGTTGGGGTTCATGCAGTACAACAGTGCACGCTTTCGTGATTGCTCACGAAGGTATTCGTGGTAAAACTCTGGGGTCATACTGCACCACACTTCAGCGCACTAGACATCGGGGTCAGTGAAAAAAAAAACCAGACAAGTGATTGGTCCTACCTGAACGTTTGCGATATGGCCTTTCGCGGCAAGATCCCTGAGAGAAAAATGCGTAAGAAATAGCATGGCCAGGTGTTGAAAGAACGCACATCCAGTTTGCCTCGTAAAGCTTGGGCCCAATCATATAGTTTAAGTCGGCAATCTTGTCATCTTCACGGACCAGTGTAGCTGCAAAACAATTGCATCAGCTTACTCGACTAGCATGCAAAAATGCCTCTCACCCGTAAGACCCAGCTTTGAATGTGCCTTGATAGTAGTCACTACTCGACGGAACATGGCTGCAGGTACGACGTGTACTTCATCCAAAAGGAGGAAACCCCATTCACGAGAAGTCAAAAACTCCATCATCTTTTTCGACTCGTGTGATCGGTTGTGGGTGTTGGCTACCATGGAATATGTGGAAACGACGATACCACTTTCGCCAGCAAACTACAAGGAAGGGGTAAGCGAGGAGAACAATACTTCGGGGGATAGAGAACCTTTTCTTTTTGGTCTGCGGTGAAGACAGCTATTTGCCGGTCGGTGATGTTTGACCATTGGAGAAATTGGGCTCTCCATTGGTACACAGAAACTCTGGATAAAGATTCGTAAAAGATCTCTATATCGACTGAGTAAACTTACGATGATGTACAGAGCACCAAGCAGGATTTTTTGATTGTGCAAGCAGCAGTAATTCCGACGAGGGTCTTTCCTGCTCCACAAGGGAGGACAATGATACCGGAACGAGCACGACTACGAAAAATGTGTTACGAAGCAGGATTGAAAATATCTTTTAATGTTAACGTACCCATTCCCAAACATCTTACTAAGACTAGTTTCCTGGTAAGGTCGGATGACGGTAGCGGGCTTCAAGTCAATGTCAAGGTTGGCATTAACAGTGTCGTTTCGGAAGTCGTATTCCTCCAGCATGGGGCTGTTGAGCTCATTACAGCGTTTTTTGACGTCCTACACAAGAGGTTGAAGATATTCGAGGGAATGAGTAAGATTAGCCTTACATCTATTTTGGCGTCGTTGATTTCAAATGAATGAACGTTTTCATCATCTTCGTCGATTTCGTCTAAAATGATAACTGAGATAAGGTTGAAATACAGGCGATAAAGTAACGTACCTCCTTCAACACCAACAACAGATGTGAACAAATCTGTATCATTAGTTTTCCCTTTAGCAGCTGGGTCGTTGGCTTTTTCAGCGTCTTTACTCGTTCCTGGTATGCCAAGATTGCCTTTCACTGGTGCTTTAGACGTGGTGAAAGTGTTGCCCTTAATACTGTTGTCGGCCTGAACGGATACTACACGTGCATCCTGAATTGCTGGATCCCGTAGTAGCCTCTGTAAAAGATCCGGATGACTAGATTCAACGAAGTACTTGTTGTGCTTTAGAACGAGCTTGACTTTCCCATAAGTCTCAGTACATTTTCGTATATGTGCGATGATGGGTTCTGGGACAGGAACCTTCCAGAAAGGTTTGAACAACACTCTTAGTGCGCAGTCTGCAACTGCGACATACCTTGGACAAACGGTTGAGAACCTTAGCGAGACATGTCAGCGCAGGGACGTGAGAGTAAGCAGTGCAAAAGCGCACGGACTTCTATTATATCCTCCGTTTGAAGTCCAACGGATACAGCGGCGTACAAGGAGTAAGAAGTAAGTTTGTATTCGTGGATAAAGGCCGGTCTGCGATGTAGAGATATGTACCTAGAGAGATACTACGAAGAAAAGTCCATACGCACCTGCTGACAGGTTCGCTGATTGCTGTCAGAAAATCTTGAGCTTGCTCGGCTATTGGGGAGAAGGCTTCGAGGATGATGAGACCATCATCTGGGCTTATCCACAGCGGGCGGGAGGCATGGTCAGGTTTGAGGTGCATGAAGGAAAAGTCCTGGTCCATGAAGATGTGCGACACAAGATTGCTCTGGTTCATCCGATGAATCTCCAAAGATGACATATCTGAATTAGTAAAGTCTTCTGCACGTTTTGCTTCTGCAAGCTTGCGAGTAAGAGCACTAAAGTTGATTGTGGCACTACGAGGTATGAGGGATGAGTCATCCGGCGGCGAAGGGGGAATAACATCGTCCTCGTCTTGAATTTCCATGTATTCATTGTCACCAGCTCTTTTTGGCCGCTTCGAGAATTTCTGGTGAGATGAGCCTGACCCCAAGTGAGTTAAAACGTTTAGCAAACAGATACAATGCAACATACCTTCAGCTGGCCGTTTGAAAGACATGGTAAGAGGCAACAAGCCAAATGAGTTCTGAATTGCTTTGACTCTGAGGCCGATCACGTGCAAAATCACGTAACAGCGGATCCGGATTTGAGACTGTTGTCCTCCAACTCTCAGTTACTGCTTTGGTGACAGCAGCCGAGTCGGAGTCCAGCTTACAGATGATTCCAATGACGAATTCAAGCAACGTTGACCGTCGCAGAC